TCTAAAGAAGTCGATTGCTAATAGAAAAGTTTCTTAAAAAGTATTTAAAGAAGACTCTTTTCTAGTAGCAAACTATCTTAAGAAGTCTCCTTTCTAATAGTAAAGACTCTAAAGAAGACCCTCTACTAATCACAAAGAGTCTAAAGAAGACTCTGTTCTAATAGTAAAGTGTCTAAAGAAGACCCTCTACTAATCGTAAAGAAGACTGTTTTCTAATAGCGAAGTGTCTTAAGAAGTCTCTTTTCTAATAGTAAAGTGTCTAATGAAGATCCTCTACTAATCGAAAATAGTCTAAAGAAGACTTTTTTAATAGCAAATTGTCTATAAAAGTGCTTAAAGAAGACTCTTTTCTAATAGCAAAGTGTATTAAAAAGACTCTTTTCTAATAGTAAAGTGAGTAAAGAAGACCCTCTACTAATCGTAAAGGGTCTAAAGAAGACTGTTTTCTGATAGCGAAGCGTCTTAAGAAGTCTCTTTTCTAATAGTAAAGTGTCTAATGAAGATCCTCTACTAATCGAAAATAGTCTAAAGAAGATTTTTTTTAATAGCAAATTGTCTATAAAAGTGCTTAAAGAAGACTCTCTTCTAATAGCAAAGTGTATTAAAAAGACTCTTTTCTAATAGTAAAGTGAGTAAAGAAGACTCTCTACAAATCACAAAGGGTCTAAAGAAGACTGTTTTCTAATAGCGAAGTGTCTTAAGAAGTCTCTTTTCTAATAGTAAAGTGTCTAATGAAGATCTTCACTAATCGCAAAGAGTATAAAGTGTTTGAAGAAGACTCTTTTCTAATAGCAAACTGTCTATATAAAGTATAAAGTTCTAAAGAAGACTCTTTTTAATAGCAAATTGTCTATAAAAGTGCTTAAAGAAGACTCTTTTCTAATAGCAAAGTGTATTAAAAAGACTCTTTTCTAATAGTAAAGTGAGCAAAGAAGACCCTCTACTAATCGTAAAGGGTCTAAAGAAGACTGTTTTCTAATAGCGAAGTGTCTTAAGAAGTCTCTTTTCTAATAGTAAAGTGTCTAATGAAGATCTTCACTAATCGCAAAGAGTATAAAATGTTTAAAGAAGACTCTTTTCTAATAGCAAACTGTCTGTAGAAGTGTTTAAACAAGATTCTCTACTAATACCAAAGTAACTTACAAAGTCTCTTTTCTAATGGTAAACTGTCTAAAGAAGACCCTCTACTAATAGCAAAGTATCTTAAGAAGTCTCTTTTCTAATAGTAAAGTGTCTAAAGAAGACCCTCTACTAATCGCAAGGGGTCTTAAGAAGAACATTTTCTAATAGCAAAGTGTGTTTGCTAACAGTAAAGTGTCTAAAGAAGTTCCTCTACTAATCCTAATGAGTCTAAAGAAAACAGTTTTCTAATAGCAAACTGTCTTAAGAAGACTCTTTTCTAATAGTAAAGTGTTTATAGAAGACTCTATACTAATCGGAAAGAGTCTAAAGAAGTTGATTCTTTAATAGTAAAGTTTCTTAAAAAGTGTTTAAAGAAGACTCTGTTCTAATAGCAAATGATATATAGAAGTGTTTAATGAAGACTCTCTTCTAATAGCAAAGTGTCTTCAGAAGTCCTTTGTTTTATTAATAAAGCGTCTAAAGAAGAATCTCTACTAATCGCTAAGAGACTAAAGAAAACTCTTTTCTAAAAAGAGATCTCTCTTTTTATAGCAAAGTTTCTTAAGAAGACTCCTCTATTACAGCATTAACTGTGTAATTTATCTTTTTTGAATACAACTACAAAACTCTAGAACAAATATTGCTTTATTCCCAACAAAATAGCAAGTAACAAAAACAATTTTAAATAAAAATTTATTACCACAAATGCAAAAAAAAAAAATTGAAAAGAAAAAGTTTACAAAAGAAATGAAAAGAAGAAACAATAATAACAAAAAAACCCAGGCAGGAGCACAGAATTACATAATATTTTCTTAAGAAAGCAGAACATAACTGGGATGCTTTCTAAATGGGATTACAGAAAACATTTCAGCAAATAAGTTTGAGCTCAGAATTTATAAATGGGATTAATGAAAAAAAGCAAACTGGGAGCACAGAATTTCATAATATTTCCTTAAGAAAGCAGAACATAACTGGGATGCTCTCTAAATGGGATAACAGAAAACATTTCAGCAAATAAGTGGGAGCTCAGAATTTATAAATGGGATTAATTACAGAAGTTTTCCTAAAAGCAAACTGGGAGCTCAGAACTTTTACTTTATTAGGAAAAGACTAAAAGTTACGTTAACTGGGAGTGCAGAAAGTTTTCTAAAATAAATTGGGAATTCAGAATTTTGAGTAAACTGGAAAAATGGAAGGTTTTTTAAAAACAAACTGGGAGCTCAGGAGGCTGAAAATAACTGATAGTGGCAAAGATTTGAACTTTTAAATAGTTGTTGTGTTTTTGCTGCCTAATGGAGATGGAGTTTTTTGGAGTTAAAGGACTTTTTTAAAATTTTGTTAATTTTTGTTTTAAAAAAGAAAATTTTAAAGTTTTTTTTAATAAATTAATTTATTTTAATGAAAAAAATTGGATTTATTTTAAACACTGCCCTGTTTACTTACAAATAAATTTGAAAAAAAACAAAATTTATTGAAAAAAAAAGAAAACAAAATTTATTTAAAAAATTTGAAAAAAATAGCAGAAAATATTATAAATTAGAGAAAATTTTATTTAAAAAGATAATTTAAATAATTTATGGGTATTGAAAGAAAATAAAGATTTTAAAAAGGTAAATAACAGTTTGAAAACAAAAGTTTAAAAATTTACATAATTTTTAAACAGAAAAAAGCAGGAAAATTACAAAAAACTAAGTTTTAAATAAAAATATATTAAAAAGTCTTTAAAAATTAAAAAAATACAAACAAATTTAAATTATTAAACAAAAACAAAAAAATTTAATTTAAAAAAATAAATATATTTTGTAATACTCAATTAAAAAAATTCAAAATATTATTTATAAATTTTAAAAAACGCTTATTTAATAAAAAAACTGCATTTTGAATTGTTTAAGCTTTTTTTGGGAAATAAAAAAATATATTAAGAAAATTAAGTGGCATTTTAAATAATTTGTATAGAAACCTGTAAAAAGTTTTAATTTTTAATTTAAACATTTTGTTATTTTATAATTTAAGTTAAAAATAAATATGCGAAAATTAAAAAAAAGTGTTTTAAAAAAGCTTTATTTATAATTTATTTTTGCTATTAAATAGTTTTTTTTTATAAAAAAAAAGTTATAATTTTCTTAACAATAAAATATTTTTAAATTTTTTCTTAAAAGTTTTTTTTTTATTAAAATATTTTATTAAAACCCTAATTAGCCTTAATATTCCAAAAACCAACAAGCAGACTTTGAAAACAAACCCCCCCACAATTTAAATATTAAACTTAAAAAAATAAAATAAAACCATATTTATGCCATAAAAATAAAAATTCTACAGCTTTTTCTAAAAAAAATAATAAAATAAAACTTAAATTAACACAAAAAACTGCTTGTCTACAAAAAAAAAAAAATACAAAAATTTAATAAAAAATATTTAAAAAAAATAGTCTAATAAATTTAAATATAAAAAACTCTGTGTGTACTTTATATATGAAAAGAAATTATTAAAAAAATAATTAATAAAATTATTAAAAAAATATTTAATAAAATTATTAAATAAATAAAAATATTTATTAAAATAAATAAAACAAAATGTTACCAAAAAAAAAAACAACTAAAACAAAATATTGCAAAAAAAAACACAGTCCATGTTTTATTAGTTTTAAAATAAAACCTTAAAAAAACAACAAATATCTAAAAAAAAAATTAAAACAAATCTTGCAAAATAAAAATATATTTATAATTTTTATTAATTAATAAAAAAAATAAAAATTAATATTAAATTATCAAAAACAAAACAAAAATCTACATATAAAGAAAAAACAATTTAAATGTAATGCAATTTCTCTATATACAAATACAACAAGAAAAATATTCTTAAATAAAAATGCTTAAATAAAAAAATAATACAAAACAAAAGGATGTTTTAATTAAAAAGCAAACAAAAGAGTAAGAAAATACTTTAAAATTAAACGTTTACCCACTACTAGGCTTTATTTTAAAACAATCTGGCCACTTCTTTCTAAAAAAATCATTAAAAAGTTAGCAGCTTTTGTCTATACCTAAAATAAATTTATCTTAGCTGCGCCAACTACCTTTTTTACCAACAACTGTTTTCTTTCTTTAATAAAGAGTTTTCATAACATTTAACTATCTTTTGTCTCATACCATAATATAAATAAAAGAGCGTGGCAAAATCAACAGCTTTTGTATATAACACTTATATATGATAACAATAACTAGGTTTTTATAACCGTTTAGCTTTCATGAGCAACATAAACAAAAGCAATAGAGTGACATAACAAATAGCTTTTGTATATATCAGCTGTTTAAGTAGACTTTTCCTAATAAGAAAACAGTCGTGAAAAAACGAAGAGTCAAAAAAGTCGACTTTTCATGAAACGAAAAAGTACAAAAAGTCTACTTTTTGTTTTAACTATAGAACCCTATTTGTAAATCAATTTTAGAACCCTAATTCTAATTGGATTAAAATGCATAAAAAAATAAGTTTGTGTTTTTTCCTATTGCACTTTTCCATTTGTTACAAATGGCAACCTTAAGAAAGCACTAACAACGAACATGGAAAACAAAACAAAATGACAAAAAATCTACAATTTATGCGGCTGAAAGCTGACTAAGCTTAACCGCCTATGAAATTGAAAAGCCAACGACGTTAAACATATTTCGGCTTCAAATTTCTTTAAAAGGTCCGCCATTTTCAATATAAAACACTTAACTGATACATTAAATTCTAGAAATTATACAATATAAAATGTTTACATATTATAATAAACTTCAGAAAACTTAGCTAATTTACAGCTGTTTTCAAGTCAGCGCCGAAATGTTTAGTAGCTAACGCCGTCATTAATATTATAAAGGCGCTGATCTTTGCTAAATCATTGAAGAAATTTTCATACAGAAATAACAGCAGAAAGAGTGTGTGAGAGTGAAAAAAAAGAAGAAAAAAAACCCTGCATAGAAAAAAATTTTATCCAGCACAAATTGTGCAAAAGTATTTTACGGTTCGCCTTTAAGCCCCCAATATCAGTTATGTGGGGAATTTTGGAGACAATACAACAACGCATAGAGAAGGAAAAAAACTAAAAAAAAAAGATTGCAATTTAAGTACCTACACAGTGTAGTAGTTAGAGGCGCCTGGAAAAACACACAACCCAAAACCGAGGCGACGAAGACGACGGGGTTCATAATTTTTTGTGTGACGGAACAATTTTTGTATTAGTTTCGTGCTGCAAGTTTTACACGGTGTACAAAAGTTAATAATATTATTTAAAAGAAAAAGAAAATTTCATAAAAAAGTGCTTTTTAAATTAATTAACAAAAAAAAAATAATAGTTAAATTGAATATAATTATAATAATATAAAAAAACGTGAAATCAAACAGCGAAAATGGCATTGAAAGTGTTGGTTGGACAAAGTAAGTGATTAATCAGTAGTCATAGTAGTAGTTAAAAGTTTTATCTATAATAATTAACATTTTCTTAAGGTTAATTAATACAATTTTAAGTAAAATTTACAAATTTCCCTTAAGTTTTCTTTATAATGGTGAAATTAATCTATAATTTCTTAGTCCCAAAGTTATTTATTGATTTTTCCCTATAGTTGTGAAAAAAAGATAAAAAACAAACACCTAACACTCAGTTTTCGCTGTAGAGGACTTTAGTGTAATTTAGGAATTTGTCAGCAATATCAGCAATTATTCTTTTCCATGGTTTTAGTCCCTTAACATGGTGGCTTTTTTTTAGCAGCAGCCTATTTTATACGCCCCCAGTTTGACCTTTTTTCGTTTGCCGTAGTTGTTGTTTTAAGAGAATTTGTTTTAGCAATGGATACCGAAAATCACTATTGTATGGAATTCCCTTATGGCCACCCAATTAACACCCCACCAAACCCTGCCATTAAATATGCGCAAAAGCGTAAATTGTCATAATTTTTTTTGTACGTATTATCTAGTTATTGATTGTAGTTCATAAAAAAATCTTATTGTAATTGTTTTAAATCTAGGATTCTTTTAACATTTTTGTAAAAAAATCTTTGTCAGATTATGTGTCATAAAATGATTGTGTCATGGGTGGGAGTTTTTTTTTATAAATCTTTTTGTTTTTTCTTTCAATTTGTAGAAAAAAATCTTAAAAAATATCAATTGTTTTTATTGTTTTTCTTTTTCTCCAGTTTGTTGTGTGATTGAGAGCGTAAGGTTGCCATATTAATACTCCTGCGCCAAATTCCTCTAAAATTAGAAGAAAATCTCCTAAAACACCCAAAATCTTAAAAAAATTTTAAAATTTAATGAAATTTTGCCTATTTTAGTTAAAAAACACCAAATTTTACAAAAAATACATTTAAAACATGTCATTGCTATTGAAAATGTTAAGGTTTTAATAAAATTTATATAATTTTTTTCTTGTTTTATAAATTAAAACAATTGTATAGCTATTTTTTGTAGCAGTTGAATTCTAGAAAACTTTAAAATTGGCAAAATGTCAAAATAGATTGCTGCATAATAAATTTTACTTAAGAAATATTGATTTTTTGATGGTGAAATTAACATTTCTTGTTTATTTGCACACAGCAATAACTTCAAGCAAAAAGTAGAATGATTTTGTATCCATTCAGCTGACATTAAACTAATTCAGCTATTTTGAATTAGTTTTAAGCTTAATTCAGGTACAATAAAAGTAGCTGAATAAGATTTTAGATGAATTTAATTGCATTAAAAATTGTTGAACATGATTTATACTTAATTCAGCTGCCATAGAAAAAGCTGAATAAGATTTTCATCTAATTCAGCTGCATTTAAAATAGTTAAATAAGACTTAAACTTAATTCAGCTGCTAAAAAAATCAATTCAGCTACTGACAAAATTTTAGAATTTTAGTTCAGCTGTTATAAAAGTAGCTGAATACGATTATTCAATAATTCAGCTGCTTTTGACATAACTGAATAATGTTTTAGGTCAATACAGCTGTAATAAAATTAAAAAAGGAGATTGTTTAATTACTAAATATAGCTTAATTGTGATTTTCTATAATTCAGCTGCAATAAAATTAGTGGAATACAATTTATATATAGCTGAATTGCAATTTTCTATAATTCAGCTGCAATAAAATTGGCTGAATATAATTTCGGTTTACTTTTGGCTGCATTTGCAATAGCTTTTAGCTTAATTCAGCTACATTTAAAATAGCAAAATAAGATTTAAACTTAATTCAGCAGCTACAGTCAAAATCGCTAAAGTGATTAACTAAAGCTGTATTAAATATTTTAGTTTAATAATAGTAGCTGAATACTATTATTTAACTATTAGGAATTAGTTTAATTCAGCTGCAATAAAATTAATAATGAAAGAAAGAGAATTTGCATAGTTTACTCATTAAATTATTGCATATTGATTTTCTATAATTCAGCTGCATTTGCAGAGGTTGAAATAGCTTAAAACATTGTTAGTTCGATTCAGCTGCAGTTCAATTATAGTTATTCAAAATTGAGCTGTTTTTTATTGATCTAGCTAAAGTTTAGCTTAATTCAGCTGTTATTAGTTTAGCTGAATAAGAATTTTTCTTAATTCAGCTAATCATATGATAGCTGAATATATACTTAGTGCAATTCAGCCGCATTATAAGTTACTACAGGATGATTTTGAATAATTCTGCCTCATATTAGTAGCTGAATAATAGTTTAAGCAATTCAGCAAATAAAAGCTGCAGCTGAATTATATTTTAAAGCAATTCAGCTGCAATATAAGCGGCTTAATTAAGTTATTGAACAATTCATCTGCAAATTAGTAGCTGAATTCTAGTTTAAATTTATTCAGCAAACAGTAACTAAAGCTAAAATATAGTTTAAATTTATTCAGCAAACAGTAACTAAAGCTAAAATATAGTTTATAGATATTCAGCTTAAGTTATTGTTTGCTGAATAAGGTTTTTAAACAATTATGCTGTAAACTAGTAGCTGAGTTGAAGTTGAAACAATTCAGCGAATAATAACTTTAGCTGAATTATAGTTTAAAGCAATTCAGCTACAACTGAAGTTGCTTAGCTATGCTTTTTAATTAATCAGCTTCAATTTAGAAGCTGAATAACAGCTGAATTGTAGTTTAATAAAAACAGCTGCAAATGATGCTTTTAAAGAAATATTCAGCAATTAATAATTGTAGCTGAATAGTATTTTAAAGCACTTCAGCTATAATTTATGTTATTTAAAATTTTATCAAACTGTTTGGCTGTAAATTAGTTGCTGAATTATAGTTTAAAGCAATTCAGCGAAAAAGATTTGTAGCTGAATTGTTGTTTAATGAAGTTCAGATGCAAATTATGTTGCTGAGTAATGTTATTAAACCATTCAGATTGAAATAAGTAGCTGAATTACAGTTTAAGAAATTCATTAAACTATAACTGTAGCTGAATTATAGTTAAATGAAATTCAACTCTAACTTATGTTGCTGAATGATGATTTTAAACAATTCAGCTGAAAATTAGTAGCTGAATTATGATTTAAATAATTCAGCAAACTTTAACTTCAGCTGAATTATAGTTAAGTGAATCATTCAGCAGCAATTTTGCAGCTGAATTTCAGTTTAAGTAATCCAGCAAACAATAAATGTTGTTGTATAATGGTTTAAAACAGTGGTTCGAACAATTCAGCTGCAAGAAAGTAGCTGAATTATATCTTATTTACTTCTGCAAACCTTAAGTTTAGCTGAATTATAGTTTATTGATTTAAAAGTGATGCAAATCTTAAATTCAAATAACCAAGAACATAAAATACCACCGACGGCATTTTTTCAATCACAGACAATTTTCATTTTATATTATTACTCTTTGTTCTTGCAACATCTATCTGTCACTGTCAATTTGTCTGTCAGTTGGAGTATTGTCAAACAACCTTTAGAAATTGCCAATTGTTGTCCTTGAAAACATTTCTCTAAATAAGAAACATAGGCTTAATAATGAGGTGTAGGAGTCTTTGGTTGACTGTTAGTAGGATTATACCAAAGTATATAGTAAAGTCATCCAATTGAGTTGTTATTCAACGTGCATCAGTCGAACCTATTTCATACTCTGCTTCCTTTTTTGTTTAGTAGAGCAACTTTTCTAATGCCAATGTTTCATATATACAATATGACCTAATATACTTTGGTATGTTACAGTTCGGGCTAACATTAGTTTTCTTTTTTTTACCAATTTTCCATTATCTCTTTTTGAACTTTCCTTTTACGTTCATTTAGAAAAATCTATTTCCATCGTAGCTGCTTTTCTATGAATGTGTAGAACAAAATGTATTCCAAAAACAGACAAGTTTGTTGTACCCCTTTATAATTCCATTTCTTGTTTCCTTTTTAATCAATGAACTCAGACATGTGGTAAGAGAGAAGAGAACTTGCATAATGTGAATGCACTTTGCTGGAAAACAACACATGTCAGTTATTTGTGCAGTTTGTCTAGTATTCTTGCCAAGAACAAGAACATCAATACATGCTGATGATGACTAAAACTGTTTTAGTATCTACTTGGTTGTAAAGGAATAGACTATTTCAAGCATCTCAATGAATGCCAGAGATTCATTTTGTCGTAGAATTTTATAGATTTTTCCGTTTTCATATAATTCGCAAGGAAATTCTTCTGCATAATTCATTAGTATAAGATAGACCAACACGTTATCGAATGGTTTTATCCGTTTTCACACAATTCTGAGGGAAATCAATAGTCTCCAGCTACCAGATAATTTGCGGAGAATTTTTCTTTTTTCCGTCGGTTTTAGATTGAATAATACGTTATCAACTGTTCTTTGCCATTTTTATGCAGCTTGGACGGCTAATTCATATTCCTGAGTAACCAGAAACGTTTGGTGTTCCAAATAGTGCAGAATAGTTAAGACAGTGGATAAAGGATTCATCAATTCTACATATTAGATATAATTGCAGATTAACAAATAGTATTTTTCCTTCTTATAAAGTACTGAGGGAAATCGATCCTTAAAAGCGACGAGAAATGTTTGGGTTTCCAAGTAGTTTAGAATAGTTGATACGGCGAGTATAGTAGAGAATTTTCGTCGGAAATTTGTCTTTCTTTCATATGTATAAGATTGACCAACTCGTTATTCACTTGTTTCTTCCGTTGGGATACAATTCTGAGGGAAATCTATCCTTCCGCGCGACCAGAAACACTTGGTTTTCCAAATTATGCAGAATAGTTGAAGGAAATGGCTTTAAAAGAGTCATTTCGCGGTAATAAACGTCAACTTTGTCTTTTTTCTATTTGGATTAGATAGATCAACATGTTATCAACTTGATCGGATGCAATTCTGAGGAAAATCTTTCCTTTCCAGCGACCAGAAACACTTGGTTTTCCAAATAATATAGAATAGTTGAAGCAAATGACTTCCAAAGAGCCATTTCGCGGTAATAAGTGTCAA